CCTGCTCTTGTGTAGCAGAGAACAGGAGCTTGCTGCGGGTAGCTGACGAGTACCTGCATTCGCTGCAGGCAAACACATATTCGACTTGGCAGAGAGGTCTACCATGGACGCCATGCTACGCCCGGGACTTTCGCGACAACTGTCCGCCGCAGCCATGCAGATCCCCATGCTGTCCAGTCCGCTGAAACAAACAAACGAGATCGATTGGGTGGAGCCTCTCAAACACCACATCCGAACGGCGTATGGCGACGACCCTGCGCGGTACGCGGACGAATGTCACACTCTCAACCGGCTGCGACAGGATATGCGAGGAGCAGGGAAGGATAGCGCGGCTGGAAGGGATCTGCTGTATAGGTACTATGGGCAACTGGAGCTGTTGGATCTGCGGTTTCCGGTGGACGAGAACCATATCAAGATCAGCTTTACGTGGTTCGATGCTTTCACACACAAGCCGACGAGCCAGTACTCGCTTGCGTACGAGAAGGCCAGCATTATCTTCAACATCTCGGCGGTATTGTCCTGTCACGCAGCGAACCAGAACAGGCACGAGGATACTGGGCTGAAGACGGCATATCATTCTTTCCAGGCGTCAGCTGGGATGTTCACGTATATCAATGAGAACTTCTTGCATGCCCCCAGTACGGATCTGAGTCGAGAGACGGTGAAGACGTTGATCAGCATAACGCTGGCTCAGGCGCAGGAGGTTTTCATTGAGAAGCAGGTGGTAGACAAGAAGAAGCCGGGGCTATTGGCGAAACTTGCGGCGCAGGCTGCGTATCTGTATGCGCAGGCTGTGGAAGGCGTGCAAGACAATGTATCGAGGGCGATCTTCGAGCGGGTGTGGCTGTTGATGGTGCAGATCAAGCAACATCATACGGCAAGCTTGGCGCAGTATTACCAGGCTATTGCGGACTACGAGGCGAACAGCTACGGTCAAGCCATCTGCCGATTGCAGGCCGCCCAAGGTGCTAACAAGGAAGCTACGCGCATGGCCAACTCATTTCCAGGTAGCGTACCCTCGAACAGCAACCTCACCTCCGAGACTGGTACGATTCTCGTGGAGATGACAAAGAAACACGCCTCTGCGATACAAGAGCTACTTACGGAGTACATTCGCGACAACGACATGATCTACCACCAACCTGTGACTTCCGAGAATAATCTGCCGAGCATACCAAAGCTGCCAGCCGCGAAAGCGATACCGGTGAGCGAGCTCTATCAAGGCCAAGACATACAGCGTATCATCGGACCAGACATCTTCCAGCGTATCGTGCCCATGTCAGTGACAGAGAGTGCGAGTCTGTACGACGAGGAAAAAGCAAAGCTTGCACGTGCTGAAGCCGAGCGAGTGCAGACCGCGGATGATGAGCTCGCTACTTCATTAGACTATCTGAAACTGCCTGGCAGTCTCAACATACTGAAAGGCGGCCTCGACCAAGAGAGCATGGGTGTGGACGAGGACTTTCGGAGTTGGTGTGGTGATCTGTCGGGACATAGTCCATTCGGTCCTACGTTCGACCAGCTACGAGAGGATAAGCAGAACGTGCACTCTACTCTTGACAGTTGCACGAAGTCGCTAGACATGGAAGAGTCGGTCTGCGAGAAGATGCGGAGTAAGTACGGTGGCGAGTGGACGCAGCAACCGTCGAGTCGGCTCAACTCAGTACTGCGGACAGATGCGCGGAGGTATCGTGCTGCAGTAGAAGAGGCTTCAACAAGCGACGCGCAGTTGTTCAATTCGTTCAGGCAGTATGAGTCAGATTTCGATGAGATGCGGTCAGCCGGTGAGACAGACGAAGCGGATGTGTTGTACCAGCGAGCGATGATCAAGGCGGGTGCAGGGAAGAAGAGCGTGACGAGTCCTGGTGCGGCAGAAGAGGGCAATTTGCTGGATGATGACTTCGCGGACGACGCAAGGCAAAGTGTCGCGGAGCAGATCGAGCGTGTGGAGGAACTTATGCGGAAGCTGCAGCTCGTGAAGCGCGAGCGGCAGCAGGTGCTGAAGGACCTCAAGGATAAAGTATGTTGGAGACATTCATAAGTTACAAGATCATGCTAACAGAACTGACCAGATACACAACGACGACATCAGCAATGTGCTCATACTCAACAAGAAAGCCATCACCAACCAGGAAGCACAGCTCTTCAAATCTGAGCTTGAGAAGTTCCGACCGCACCAGAACAGAATACTGCAGGCGAATCACAAGCAGTCATCACTAATGAAGGAGCTCACACGAACGTACGGCGATCTTCTACAAGATAAGCGCGTGAGATCAGAGCAGAACAAGTACGAAGCGTTCTCACGGCAACGGAACACTGTGCTGGGCAGGTATCGGAAAGTGTACCAAGCGTATACCGACCTGCAAGCTGGGCTTTCACGGGCACAGCAGTTCTACGATGAGATGCGGGACACAGTTGACAGCCTGAAGAAGAACGTCGACTCTTTCGTGGAGAATCGCAGATCAGAAGGTGGCCAGCTGCTCAGTGCCATCGAGGCAGCGAAAGGCAGTGGCGCCGATCGTGAGCAGGCGAGACTCAAGGAGCTCATGGAGCGCATGAGTGTCAGCCCTGCAACACAATCCTCCGCGTCGCCAATACCAAGCATGGGAGATCGGACCTCTGCGCATCGACCACCACCACTCCAACCACAAACCGCATACAACAGTCAACCACAATACAATCCCGCCGCCAGCCCTCCCATCACGCCGCGCTACCCATCCAACGGCGTGCAATCACCACAATACGGACAGCAATACCCTACACCAACCAACGGCACCTTTGCACAACTTGCACAACAACAACAGCGACCACAAAGCTACAACACCCAACAACAACAATCTCAAGACCGAAGCGCCTACAACCCGAATACCTACGGCCCTGTCTCACCACCCGCACATCAACAATACTTCTCTCCTCCGCCAAGTCAACAGTACAGCAGTTTCCAGCAACCCACCACGTCACAGTATGGTACCCAGCAGCAGCCACCACAGCAGCAACAGCAGTACGGTGGGCAGAACGTACCCGCGGGTTGGCAGCCCCCACCGCCACCGCCAGGGCCGCCGCCAAGTCAGGATTATGGAGCTGTTGGTGGGAGTCAGTACCCGGCTGGACCGGGAGGGTATGCTAGTGATCCGAGGAGGCCGGCCGCTCAGCAGAGTGGTGGGGACCCATGGGCTGGCTTGAGTGCTTGGAAATGAGTTGTGGGTTGGGAATATTGCATGGCGTGGTGCGTGTGGGTCTTGCATAGCTTACCGATATGAATGATTAGCGTCGTACGTGGAAATGATGATCATGGGGGCTACTTGCACGCATCACATACACCGGATTTCATTCGTGGTGATGATGTACTCCCTCCACGATTGATGCAACGGACCACACATCGAGCGCTACCAAGCTATTCAAAAGATAGGCGCCGCTTTCTACGAAACATGATACACTCTACGTCTATTCATTGGACTGGCGCCACTTACTCCAATCATGGTCTGCCACCCAGCACTTCCGGCATGAGCAGCAATTCTCGCCGCCATGCAAAAGTCCACAGTACACCGCACACCTGCAAAACCAACAAAAGAGTTTAGACACGACTGAATTCGAACCAGTACCACTGTGCGAAGCGATAGATGGATCACAGCGAATGAATCCATCGCACAGTATCCTACCGTTAGACCACGCGTCCTGATAATATGATATGACTCCGCTCACCAGCTATTATATAGAGCGAGAGGTGCTGGCCGCTGTTATGCCGACTTGGCTCGCTGGTTCCGGGTGGTAAGCACTGCGTGGTAGTAGCATGGAGAGGTAAGCAGGTGGCGAACCTAAGTATCGTCTCGGCGTACCTGGAAGGACTTACCGTCCAGCCAAGACTCGATTTTCTGCAGAGCGAACTCATCGTGAGCTTTGGCTGATACAGCCCAGTCAGAATCATCTTCGTCGAACCATCCTGGCGTGCCTGCGGAGTTGAGGTTCTCTCCCACTCGCCTGCAAGATCCGAGATCAATGATCACGACGTTGTCATGCTGGTCGAGAGCGACGTTCATGGGATTCAGATCATTGTGTGCGAGGCCGAGGGAGTGGAGATGCTGAATGCCTGCTTGCAAGCCATGCATCCATGCTTTTGCCTTGAAGTCGCCAAAGTCGTAGTTCTGACCTTGATCAAAGTACTGCTGCAGTGTCCTGGGGTACTTCTCCAACACCAACCCAGCGATGCGGTTGTCTTTCAGTATGCAGCCGTAGAATCTAATCAGGTTCGGGTGAGGCAGTTGCTTCAGCGACTGCAGGACTTTGGCCTCCTCGAGAACGATCATGGGCAGAATTTTGGCCCACTTGAGCATCTTCTGAACCTACCAGATTCGCCCGCTTGATGTAACGACAGTCTGTATCGTTGTGATCATGAATATCAAGACCGGGCGGCATCAGCGGGTAGACGTGCTCATCTGGGAGCGGCTTCAGAAGGCCCCAAAGGTCTTCGTCGCTCAAGTCGTACTTTCGGACGCCTGATATCTGCCCGAACCAAGCAGCTCCGTAGCTGTCAATGCCAGAGCAGGTGACGCAGAGGATGTGTCCTGTTTCAATGTCTTGTACTTCGGCCACTGTCAGACTGGACCTGAGGCATTGGTAGGGGCCATGTTCGCTGGAAGGAAATCTTGGATTGGCCATGTGTGTTGGGCAGCTTTGCCTCGTTGAAAGTGACTAGAAACAGGAAGCTCTGCTTCGAGCACACCTCGACAGAGCTCCCCCTCTTGTCGTGTGACTACAAGCAATCATCCACCCACGCTAAGGCATCGCCAAGCCATCCGTACTAGACGAGAGCACAGTCTAGACCACGCAAGCCTTGAAGCCGGATCACAACAACCAAAAACGCCTATCATCTCCCAAACAAACACCCTCTCTTAATTGGTCGGTATCCCTTCTTTCCAGCCTACCAAGCGTAGCAAGGCCGACACATCTAGCCACCCAAGCCCTGCCCTTATGTATTGCCAAGCCTGACATCGAGTCATACAGCTGGGGTGGTGTAGTGGCAATCGCGTCTGTTTAACACAATCCTATACTCGTCAAGAGTCATGGGAACAATTACAGAAGACCGAGGGTTCGAGTCCCTCCTCTAGTATCATTCAGTATTCGTGAAACGATCAGCGTTCTTCCTTTTGCACACCTTCGTCCAGGTGTGACGTCGCGGGCTTTCGAGGCCTCCTTTGGCAGTGTCCTCTGGAGTGTTACTCACTATCCCTCCTTCAACTCAACAGCATCAAGGATCGTCACTCACAGCAAGCAAGGTCTGTCCCCAACACTGCCTCTACGCTGAAGTCATCACACTTTCCTCTCTTCAGTTCGTCCTCCACAAGCTTCATACAACCACAAAAACAGCAAACTCAACCCGCAGTAGGTTCTCCGGCATACTCGCCTCATTATAAAGACGAGCTAATAGCTCGGGAGACTGGTTCCAATCAGTTGTGAAGAGTCCCTCGATCATTCCATTTGCTCAACAACCTACCGACCCAAACCCCATGCCTATAGATCCAGCTATGCAACATGCAAATCGCTCGAACGCCGCACAAAAAACACGAAAACCACACCACCTAAACACATCAGTCCACCTTCCCCTGGCCCCCAGACCCAGCATTCCCCCCCAACAACCCGTCCATACCCCCCTTCTCCCCCACCTGAAAATAACTAGGCAGTCTATCCATACCCACCTGCCTCCCTCCCCTCCTCGCCAAAACAACAATACCAACGAGTAGCCCAATCCCCACCCCCGCACTAACAACCGGGTGCTCAACAACCTGCCCCCTAAAAACCCACCACGCGTGCCCCCCCACACTCATAGTCCTCTTACTACCAATCTTCGGCGGACTCCCCACCACTCTGGGAAGAGTCTCAAGTATCGACGTCCTGCTCGGCACAATAGGATTCCCCGTAGCAGTAACATCCCAGTATTTATGCCCATCGTGTTCGTACATCACTACTCGTTCGCCATCTTCTCGTACCGAGACGCCGAAAGTTGTTTTAAGCCACCGTTCCCAGAAAACCCCATCCACCCACGCGAACCCCACCTCCTTATGCGGAAGATCATTCATATTAATCCTGATACTCTTCGCAGCGCCCAACGCCCTCTGATCATTGCGATCCTCCGCCTCCTCAATCCGCAACTGCTTCCCATCTCTCCGTTCCTGGCGTTCGAGCTGGAAAGCCTGGGTCTGCTTATCTATCCATTCGAGAGCCGCGTTTTTAATCTCCCGTTTCGCGCTCAGAAATTCCTCCGGACGATCCCGGGAGATGATGCCTAGGACGACGAGTTTATTCCCCCCCATTACTTCTTGCGCGTTGGAAGCGGTGAGTTCGGGCACGATGGGGAGCCAGACTGTTTGCATCCAGGCCAGCACGCGACGGAAATCCCTCATATCCCTCGGACTCAAGCCCGTGTAATAAGACGGTTTGCCGTCGCGGGAGACGAGGAGACGGGGCCAGGTGGAGATTTTGTACCGTTCCACGAGCTCGGTGTCGTTGGTTTTGACCAGCTTCGCGTGCCCGATGAGACTCATGACCAGGCGGTCGAGAGCTGCGAAATCTTCGGACGTCGTAGCGTGGTCGTAGAAGTAGAGGAAAATCACTTCCTCCTTCTCCTCCATCACCTCAAACTCCTTGGCCGTAACCTCCTGGATCGGCTCAGCGACCGCTACAGCTTTCCCCGCGAACGCGATTAAATCCCCTAGACCTCTTAGACCATCGTATTCAATCCTTTCGCCTCCCCTGAAAAACAGGAGCGTGGGGTAACCTTTTACTCTCACGTCTTTGCATAGTCGTTTTTCGGTCTCGCAGTTCACTTCGCCTATATTCAACTCCCCTCTCATTTGCCGAGCCATCCCCGCCCAATTCGGGGCCAAGGCCTGGCAGTGCGAACACCAGGGTGTGTAGAATTTCACGAACCAGGGATCGTGTGTGGTCGTCACTAGGCGCTGGAAATTCTCCGCGGTGAGGGGGTTGCTCTTCCCCTCGACATTCGGCGTCGGGGCCACGAGGTCAGCTACTTTCGTTGCGGAGACTGTAGCTGTTTTCTTAATTCCATCCTTCGCTGCTGCTGCTGGGAGGGGAGGCGAGTCAGGGATCAAAGTGGATTCCACCTCGTGATCGCCTACTTTAGGTAATTTTGGTCCTGCCTTGGGTCTGCTACCTGGGTGGATTGTTTCAAGGGTTTGCTCCACCCATGCGGACATGGTTTTGAGGTCTTTGGCTCCGACTTTTGTGTCGATTTTCTCGCCATCTTTGAACAGGACGACGGAGGGGAAAGAGCGGATCTCGTTGTCCGCGCAGGCGTCGCCGTTGGCTACGCAGTCCAGTTTCGCGAAGTGGAAGTCGTAGTAACTCGTGAAATCCCCTGCCTCTGCCTCTGTTTGGGAGGGGATGTCCAGGGTATAATAGTACTCATACAACGTCTGCCACGTCGGGGCAAAGTGTTTGCAGTGCCCGCAGTACGGACTGAAGAATTCTACGAGGTGGTATCCCTTCGCGATCGAGTCTTTGAATTTTGCGGTTTCGAGGTTGGTGCCTGGGGGTACGGTTTTGGAGTTGAAGGTTGTGCTGTCGAGACCGCCGGTGGTGGTTGTGGAGTCGTCGTGGCCTTCGAGGGCTGAGCCGGAGCCGTCGGCGCGTTTGAAGGCTGCCCAGGGGGGTGTCAGGGCGTAGGTGGAGGGGATCAGGGACAGGGTTAGGAGGCGGAGGAGGGAGGTCGGTAGCATTGTGGCGGTGGAGTTGTGGTTTACATTCGAGGTTGTGTGTGCTCAAGGCTGTATACAACTGAACTGGTGATTGACGTGGCTCGCATGTGAAATACCCCCCTTCCGTGACCTCAAAACAATAACCCAATCCAGCCCACTTCCGCAGAGCCTCACTTCAAGTACGCCATTGACATTGACCTCTCCAACCCACACCCCAAACACCACAACTCAGCAACCATGCGCGCAACCACCCGCCTCCTAGCCGTAATTTCCAAATCCACCCCCCTCGTCCCCGGCTCTCCCACCGGCCTAACCGGCCTCCCCACCCACGCCGCCCCCCGCAGCACCCTCCTCTACCTCTACCACCAAACTCTGTCAAAACTCCAAGCCGGATTCCCAGAATCGAGCGTCTACCGCCAATCCACCGAAGCCCTGACCAAACACCGCCTATCAATCATCGAGGCCGTGAAGCCCGAGGGTCTACAAGCATGGCAGGAACGCGTAAAGAAAATCGTGGACGCGCATCCTGAGGCATTCCGCCGTGTGCCGGTTCTAACCCAAGCCGGTGGAGCAGGGGAAGAGAATATTATCTGGCGCACCGCGGCGCTGCAGTCGCTTGCTACGGCTTCGTATGAAGATGAAGGTTTGGGTGCTCCGCAGTTAGAGGGATTGAGACATGAGAGCGAGCGCGCGACGCAGAGGGAGGTTTTGGAACGGGATCCAGTGGAGGAACATCGGATTGTGCCGCGTATTGAGCCGGAGCCTAGTTTAAGCGCTGGGCAGGTGGAGGAGGTGGAGCAGAAGATGGGGGCGGGGTTGATTGAGGAGGTTGTGCAGGTTGCGGAGGGGGAGATGAGGTTGGTTGATGTACTTGCTGAGGGGAAGGTGTAAGTGTTGCTATTTCTCTTTGGTTGGTGGTGGGGTATTTGATGTGCTAATGTGTGTGTTAGGTGGGAGGACCTTGAGGAGAGCCCGAATGCTGGGCAGTGGGCGTATTTCGAGCGGGATACGCATACGCCTACTACTCAGAAGCCGAAATCCAGCTAAAGCGGAGTGCGGGTCAGAAGAAATGATGGTGTGATGAGAGAGTTAGAAGTTGTACATACTGTATACCTACGACGGCAACAGCGAAAACGCTGTTTGACGTTTACTTAACCGATCAAACTGCTCAAGGCCATGTCCTAGACCTAAGAGCGCTGGACCAGATGACTAGCAGAACGAGTTCTCGTTAGATCTGATCTAATGGCTCTCGATGGATACTCGAGGCGTGTTACTGACGACGATTAGCAGAGCTGGGAGGGATTGTGCTTTGGCATCTTGATCTGCAGCGCTGCTGACAATATGCAGATTCTGCTCCACTCATACAGGAGAAACCCGCCGGGATTCCCGGTGGGTTTCTCGTTCGAGGCCATTCAAAGCTGGTACACAGACAAGTGAGGGAACTGGCAACCTCGCCTTCTGTGGACACCTACTCGGCTCAATCCGCGGATGGTCGTGCGAGGTGCATGCGAGCCGTTCTGAGTCCTGATGCTACGTCGTTCCGAGGCTTTGCTTTGCTTGCGCATGCATTGTTCTTGATCTCGAGCTTTCGAGTGGCGTTGTTGATCGCCCTATGTCCTGCGCTTAAGTAGTTAGTGGGGGACCCAAAAGACGAATCCAGGACTCCAAAGGAGGATCTCTCGCTCACGAAGCAAGGTGCGGCCATGCACTGTCGAGCTTGGGTTTCTTGCTGTCTCCGATGGGCTGGGACTCGATGACTGAAACATAATATTAGGGCCGCGGACTGGGCATAGTCAGTCCCGGTAACGACACGCATACGCCGATGCTGTTGTTATGGGGCTCACTACGACGTACGGTAGGCTGGAAAGCTGCAGAGTCGCTCGCGGTTGCTGGACCTTGGACATGAGCATACTTCATAGACCAATGTCTGAAACCTGGCCCCCAGATTACAAGCCCGAACAAGCACTTAGCAACCAAGCCAATCGCTCTTGCGAAGCACTTGCGACCAGTTCTGGATTTCGGCAGCATTCAACGAGCGCTACAGTCTTTCTAGTGCTAAACGGCCATCTAATGTGTAGTTCACTCTAGCATTTAAGCTAATGAAGAGGAGATCTTGAATATTGCTGACTCGGAACTGCCCTGGGCCATCTTTCTCTCGCGGCTACTTTGGGCACGACGTGCTGTCTGTTGCCTGCTAACTGACAGCCTTGCAGACAGCTACATGTGCATGAGCACAGCCCCGCACAGCCAAGCCAGGCGCGGTCTCCTGATCAGACCACACCTCTCGCCGCGAAACAAACATAAAGTCGTGCCAAACTGATATCCCTTTCCCTAGTTCCGCTCCTGAGTTCCGTCGTCCCGCCCTTCCACCAATTCCCTCTCTAACCATGACAGA